TGTTGTAAATAGCACCCACCAAAAAACATTCCAACTCAGAAATAAATACTAGATTGGAGGTTTCTCAGTGAACACTCAGTGTATCTCAGTTTTTTGGAGAGCGTGCAAATTGCACTGGATCCCATGGTAGGGCATTAACTTTGGTATCATTCACTTGGGGGTATCCCTGCCACAGAAGTCTGCACTTTGCACCCAGTCCCTCGAACCCTGAGTTCACCGCCGTGTGCTGCTCAGCCTCCAATTCCATTCAAGACATGAGAGACAAAAAGAGCAAAACATGTGAAATGAACTCTCTGCGAGAATCCAGATGTTTTGATTACGCGCACATCTCTCCTTCCAGCCTCCACTCTCTCGACACACACAGATCTGTCTGTTCATGTCACCTAGCAAGCTCGGCACCAGCCCCTCACCAGTCACCCGCCCTGTGGCACTCCCCAACATCAACTGGTAAACACACCCTCTCTGAAGGCCAGGCAGGGTGGCTTTGGGGAGAAAGACGCTCCAAGGCACAAACCTAGAAGCCTTTTCAGCCCTAAACAGATCCAGATTGGATCATAGATCTGTGCCAAAAAGCAGCCTCAAGTCAGTCCACGTCGGACAGGGGGGAGGCAATGAGGGTCAGGTGTGAGGAGAGGGCTGTGTTCAAAGCTCAACACAGACAGGAGGGTGCGTTTCAGGGGGACGGGCTGTGTGTGTGTGTGGGTGTGTGTGCGCACAGGCCAGGAGCAAACACGGACACCACCATGTGACCTTGTATGAAACTGTCTTAATCAAATACAGAAACTTTCAATCTGTTCATGACCTGTTGCTTTCCAGATCAATCCCAAATTTCTACGTTTTTCCACCATTGACGTCTGCTCCCAGCCAGCACAAGCACACCGACCACACGTACCATCCCAGAGCCCGATCCCCACCTGAACCCTGCTTTTTAAAGCATTCATCTATTTGGTTTATCATCAAAGAATATGAGGTATATGATGAACTATCTCTCTTTTACATCCTACATTGGATGAAGTAATAAGTTTAAATGAAAGTATAGGAAATGGAAATAAAAGAAGACAAAGAAAAATAGAAGGACAGAAACCCATCAAGCAGTTACAGGGCAATTTCCAGCAGGGAATCCAAAATAACTCCTATTCTTTGCCTTGCTCTTTTGTCTGAATCATATAAAAACTCTCTCCCCCTCTGCTCCGCCTGATCCTCTTTTGTGTTTTTGGTTGTGTAGCTGTAAAGCTTTCAGTTTGTTCTCGCTCTGGAGAAAATATAAAGAAACAGAAGCAGAACTGTGCCTCGAAGAACACCTCATGGTGTTACACAGGCCTGAATTATACCCATGTCCCTTCACCTGAAAACAAATTTGTTTAAACTTTGACTAATTATAAAGAGACACAAAGGAAAACGTATGTCCAGAAAACTTCTTTCTCCCTGGTAAAATCTCTTGAACCATGAGGTGTTTGTCCACACAGAGCTGCCACTGTGAGCAGAGTGACTACCTGTTAGTCCAATGTACTCTCTTGCTGAGATTTGTAGTTGCATTTCTGGTATTATTTGTTCTAAAGAAGTAAGAAAGAATTTCAATAGGTGGGTGAAAAAACAAACAAACAAACAAATTCATCACAAATACATCCAAGAGTATGAAAAAAAAAGCACCTCTAGAAATAAATTAACAAATAAATAGCAAGACAAGCCAATAAAACAACCCTACCCTGAATAAATAGTACAATCAAAAGTCTAAATTATGATTGGTACAGGAAAATAAACAGTCCAAAGAGAGATAGTTAAAATTTTTGGTCTAAAATCAAGTTATCATCATCAGCGTTTTTAGGATCTTTTTTTTTTCTCAAAATCTTTTTAAGTTTTTTTCTTTTCAATACATTAGCGATAAGTAAGCAGTAGAACATAGATCTTTTTCTACAAAATCTATAGAAGCACTAACAGATACATTCCGTCTAAGAGTCAATGTGGAGAAAAGGTTTCACCTTTCAGGTGCGAACCCCACATCTAAAGTTTGGTAGTTTGGTTTGTGAAACGATTCTCGCGTGTCGACTGTTTGGTGTGGATCAAACCAAATATTCTTTGGATACGTTAACATCAGATTCCCAATCCGTCAGCATATCTGAGGCCTTCTGCTGTGCGGGTTGTTCTGTCCTTTGAAGTGTAGTCTTTGGGGTCAAAACTGAAAAAAAAATATCACTGCAGACCCCACTCAGTTTCTTTTTAGCCTCCAACTAACAGTCTCACACAGAAACCAGTCGCTTCTCAGACAAATCGACCCAGTTCTTTGCGTTCCTGTCTGCCGTTTGGTTTGGTTTCAGTATTTGGTTTGACTAATTCAAAGTTAGCTTTTTGGTTGTCTTCTTTTCTGCCAAGACAGTCCGTTTCGTTATCTAATAAAAATCTGGAAGCTAAATTTTCACAGTATTTTTTCCAACCACCTGATAAAAATCTCTAGCACGACTACGAAAAAAATAAGGAGCTCTTGTAGTAAGTAAGCGAGTACGTTATTCCAAATAAGTAATAAGCACTAAAGTACAGTACATAAAACGGCATCAAGAGACACAGCAGAGATAAAACAATCAGAACCAACCAACAGAAAAATAAAAACAGATTTTTTTTAAATAAGATTTCAGTTCAGTGAGGTCATTTGCGTTTAGCTCCATCCAGGACCAGAGAACTGAGCTGGAGGGAGGGAGGCAGAGGAGGGGAGGATTGCTCTGTCCTTCTTCTGTCCGCCCATCCGTTCGTCCCTCCATCCATGCTGCACAGTCTGCAGAGCTAAAGCTAACGGACGGACGGGCGGTTCCACGTCTCGCCTCTCTCAGCTTCTGCACTGTGTCCTCCTCCCCTCTTCCCTCCAGCCACATTTGGTTTGGATTCTTTTTGGTTTGCTTCTGTCATTCCTTAGGTTGTGTGTTTTTTTTTTTCTTTTTGGTTTGGGTTAATTTTTGGTATCCTCTTACAAAAAGTGTGACGCCTGTTCCCCTCCACTATAGTGTGTCCCAGAATACCCTTCTTTGTGGGGGTTTGGAAAAAGGTAAAGGATGAGTCCCTTAAGTAAAGCTTCCCCCTGTGGGTTTTTCTGGAAAGGCCAGGTGCAGCTTATTTCACCAGGAGGCCATGCAGTGTTAGCATCCTGTTGTCAGCCCCCCATCCCGCCACTCCCAGTGTGTCTTTATTGTGTTCATGTCTTGGCTTGGGATCTTGAACAAGGGGCCCAGCCTTGAAAATGCTTTGGTATCCATTTGAGATTTAATGGCAGTGTGAGGTGGAAAATGACAGTGAAATGTGATCGATGGAGCGATGATGAAACAGACAAATGTCAGTAAACATGTCTAGACATGCAGGTGTCAGGGCGTCGGTGCTGATTGACGAGGCAGGAATGAGAGCCAGCTGTGACTAAACTTGGCTTTATTGTCTTATTTACCCCTCACTCTCAACGGCCGTTTCTTCAAATCTCCAATCACAGCCCCATTTCATACTTTCAAGAAGGTTGCCCCTCATAACAAACATCATTTTCAGTGTGTGAAGTTTCCAGGGCGTGTTCATTTAGCCGCGAATGGGGGTCCGCGATAATGGCAATCTTTAAGAGTGAGGGAAGAGCGGTGTGATTAAGCACACAAAATATCAAATGTTTAGGCCTTAATAAATGCGTTCACACCCTGAAATCAACGCTCAGCGGGCCAACTCTGCCTGTGATCTACTGGCACTTGGTGAGGACTGAGCTGAGCATCTTTTCATTTTTGTCATCCGCGTTACTGCGAAGGAGTCACATTACAGACAAAATGCATGATGGTGACACAAATACACATAACGAGGACAAAGATGACGACAGTGATGGTGATGAAAAACCTCCGAGCGTAATCACTTCAGTAGCACGCAGCAATAAATAGGAGCCGAGTTGTACAATGAAACTAATAAATAATAAAAAGAAAACTACATTTCTGTAAAAACAAAAAACCTAAACATCAGCGTGTCTAAAACAAATCTGCCATAAGAAGGGAAGATGGATGCTATTCTATGCTCTTATAACCAGAGGTAGGTAAAGAGATAGCATTTCTACCAGACATTCAGCTCAGGACTTAACAAGTAACAACACTTTACAAAAAACATCCTCCGAATGATCTTGCATGAAAACAGATGTTTGACACATGAGCCGACATGGACAGGATGAGTCAGTGACAGGATGAGCTGGCTCGTCGTGTACATATGCTCCTGCGTGTGTGTGTGTGTGTGGGTGTGTGTGTGTAAGTAGCAGTAGAGTCCTGGTCCTGGATAGCTTCAGTATTTACACGTCCTTTGAATAAAGCTTTTCTCTCCGTATTTTTGGTTTTTGGTATTTGCGATTTTGGTATGGTTGTCGTTCTTTTTTTTTCTTTCTTCATTTTGTCATTGTGTGGTTGTCCTCAACCTCCTCCTCAGGTTAATTTTTGGTTTAAATGTATCCTCCATACTCCTTTTCCTTCAGACCCGCAGCGTTTCAAAAACAATAATAATAAAAAAAGACGCGTAAGCTGTCCTTCACTTCATGTTTTGTCCTTGCCACCATTCTTTTGTCATAGAGTAAAGTTGTCTTTTGTCATTTTTGGTTTCGGCTCTCCGACATGCATCTCTGTGGGCTCTTCCAGCTCTTTGTTACAGAGTCATTGGTTTACTTTCCTTTAGTCTGAAAGAGTGGAGAGGTGCCATGTCGATAACACGTGTCATAGACAAAAAGGTCCCACGCTGTCTCTTTTTCATCTGCTTGGATAGATAGAGATTTTTGGTTTCAATCTTCCCCTTCCCCCCCCTTCTCCCCTCTTTCACCTCTTTCCTTCCTTCTCTCCTCTTTCATTCTGTATATTTTTGGCATCGAAAGACTGTGAGAGAAAGAGGGAAAGAGCCATTTAAAAAAATAAAGTAACGGAAGAAGAGCACAAGAGAGAGAAAGAGATAGCTTTGGTGTGAAAGGTGAGGTTCTATTTTCCTTCTTCCTCCTCCTCTCCGATTGGCCCTTGCCGTGGTCACTCAATCTTGGCCATACCCAGAGAGGATGGGCTGTGTGCCATTTCGCTGGAGGAGCAAGAGGAGGCAGGGCTGGAGCAGGGGGAGGGGGAGCAGGGTGTGGGGCTGATGCTGCTAGCGGAGGGGAAGGGTGAGGCCTGGGAGACTTTGGCTACAGCGGCGCTGACCAACCCAGCGCTGGGATTCTGGCCCATGTGGAGCAGGGAAGGGTGGTTGAGGAAGAGGGAGGAGGGAAGGCCCCCTCCTTGTCCCCCAGAGGCCCCCAGCATCACCTTACTGCCACCCTCAAGAGTGGAAAGAGGCAGCTGGCCACCACTGGCTGCTAGGGCTAAAGAAGAGAAGGAGAAGAAAAAGAAGTTAAAAGAAGGCAAAAGAAAGTCCTCCAAACTGTACGTCAAAGCAAGGCCGGCAAACTACTCAAATTCATTTTGAACATTTCAGCAGTTTTATGTGGGTGCAGCTGTTTTGATCTTCTTCAGTTCCCAGTTTTTAAAGAAATCTTATTTTTCATGTTTATAGATCCAGTGAGTTCTATGTTATGACATCTAGTGGTACAAACTGTACAGGGCAACCACTGAGCTAAAGTCCAGTTTTAGTTGGACGAACAGAGTCATTTTGCTTTCCTACCGTCGTAAACATGTTTATAGTACATACATCATGGACGATTTTAGTTTGCCAAAGAAAGACAAAGGGGGGCTAAATCTGTACACACACTGGCTGTTTGTTCTTTTGTTTGTACAGAAGGATAAGCTGCTGCATCAGCTGACAACATCTGAACTGATTTCACCATCATTCATCATTTTCTAATGACAGATTGCTCTGAATGTTAAGAACTGAAACATAGGCTCTCCAGTGTAGCAGGTGTGGCTAAAACATCTGAAAGAATCAATTAGTTTTAACAGAATTTTGGTGTCCATGAGTCACTTCTGAGTCATCAACATGACACCTTTTAGTCACTGTATGAGAGTGGTGTGTAGGTGACATTTAAAACAAGGCTAATGGGTACATAAGAAGAATCAAAAGATAAAACCTGGTTTTGAAAATTCTACGTTTTTAAAGTTTTTTTGTCAGCCTGCAGCAGCTACTATCATTGGTTTCTCTGATGAAAACTTCCGACAGAAGAACTAGACCATTTGTTGGGTTCCGCGGTCATTAGTGAAGCATAACCACCTACTTTAAATCAACACAACTGAGGCAGAATGGAGATGATCAGTACATGTCGTTTTTTTTTAGCACATTCTCTCTGTTTGAGATTGCAGATTTTCCCCTCTAATTTTAACTGAGAACAGAAGAATTGAAATGTTCCTGCGAGTGTCAAATTTTCTGTAATACTTTTTCTTAGCCAATCGTAAACGATCAGACGGCACACTGCAACAGGTCAGCTGACACGATAGGTGTGTTGTTATGGAAACAATGTACACAATTGGCTGTTTTTACACTCAGAGCTTCATGCAGAGCTTTTTCACATGCAGCACATAAACTATGTGCACAGACTGGTTAGTTTTTAGCAATCACGTAGCAACAGTTTCACGGTTTCTATGTCTCTAAAAGAGGGCATTAAGCCTTCTTTTAACACAAGTGCAAACGCTGGGACGTTTTTGGTGAAGAGACATCGATTTTCAATTTCTAAATCATCAGTGGCTTTAACGATATTGTGGTTTAATTTCATGTGTCTGATGAAAACTGAGAATCTGAGTCAAAAGTTTAATATTACCACATATATAATTGCTCTGCGCACTTAAAGCAACACACTAGCAATGAACTTTTCAAACAGATTGTTTTGAAATTTTAAATGGGGAATTCATCCTCAGTAACCCAGATGAAAGGTGAACCGATGACAATGTGAAGAAAAGGCTTAAGGCAGTTGAAAGTACACAGCCACACACAAAAACGCAAGCCCACACGTTAACGCAAGCACCGACTCTCGCACAGACACTTGATGGGATGGATTCATGGAGGTACATGACAATGCATGAGAAAAAAAAGTTAGTTTTCTTGTCAACAGCCCTGTCTGTCTCAGCTGCTTTGTGCCGTGGATGAGCAAACACACTCGGCTGCCTATTCATCCGCGTCTCCAGCCGGTAGTCAGCCAGTGCGGCTTTACTCACCCACCATCTGCAACCGTATTACTCATCATCACCCTTCTCGTTTTAACGCATCTCCCCTCCCCTTGTCCTCCACACACCATGAAGAATGATTAAAAGTGAGCCGTGCTCAAACTGATGGAGGTCGGGACTGTTCAGTGGTCCCTGCTGCGCGACAGACTGCGAGAATTTTTTTTTTTTGGCATCTATCTTTTTTTTTTCCGACTTATTTTTGCACTATTTGTGTGTTGTTGTATTGCCAGTGCAGGAGGGTGTATGAGTGGAGGTGTCATATACAGTATATGCATGTGAGTTTGAACACTTCTTTGTGTGGGAGTGTATGAGAGGCTTCTGTAACTGCTAACCAGGAGGAAAATACATGAAACTCCACACCTTGCATCGGTGCCACTTGTAAGATTTTTCCAGACCTTAAATGCTTTCTCACAACTCATATGTGAACTATACTCATCAGTTTCATTGGTTGCTCTGAATTTGAGCTTTTGTTTTGTTTCTGTGTCCTCTTTTAAAGCTATCTTCCTTTCAGCATCTCTGTTTCTCACACACCTTGGATGGTGGCCAGGGGATTGTTACCGATGAGGGCTTGGTTCATCCCTGTGTTAACTCCCATCACAGTGTTCCTGTTGTGGCACGCACACACACACACACGCACACACGCGCACAGCGCCACACGTGCACAAGCATGTGCACAAACACAGGCATGCAGAGGAGAAAAGGTGAGAAAAAAAGCAGGTTTAGTAGCAAGGAGAAGCAGAGGGTAAATTCATCCCTGAGCACGTTCAAAACAGAGTGCAGACAGATAAGAAAAGCAAGAAAGAAAAAGTGTTCTAGAAAATTTTTCAAAATATGGAAAACCCTCAATAATAGTTCATTGCTAACACAGAGTTTGCATTCCTACACGCAAACACAATTGCATGAACTTGTGATGTGCGTGTCTTTGTTGTATTCACCTCAAGTTTGCAGCAAAATCGGTGATGTAGTTTGACATGTCACCGTTCTTTTTACCCATACGCCATAAGCTGTGAACAGAAGAACCACACACACACACACAGGATTAGATTTGGATGTAGGAAATGAGAAGCAGTGGGCACCAAGTGAAATGGTTATTAGTGTGCATGTGTGTGTAAGCTGTGTGTGTGTGTTTGATAAAAATTTTAACTACGAACTGCAGGTGAACATAGTGTAATTCCATTTTTTTTCAGTTTGATCACATTTTTGTAAATACAATACTGAGAGAATTTGTTTTTTTTTTATGATGTCTGATATGTATTTATCAATCCACGGTGAACACCATCCATTAAGCCTGATAAAAAAAATACCAGGCACAAGTAATAATGCAAACTGATCTCAATTCCTTTTTGCTTTTTGTATATTACAACTTCCTAACTTTTGATTGTCTTAAATGTAAAATGTAAGCACCAGAGGTGAAATTCCATTCAGCTCAACTGTATCTGACAAAAGTAAAGTTAAGACAAGGCCAAAACCTCTCGCCCTTAAAGGGTTTTATGATCAGGGAAAAGCTCCCACCCTAAAATCTTTACTCTCTCCAGTAAGAAGAAAAAAAAAGAAAGTAAGAAAAAATAAAAACATCAGGAAGGTCTCTTCTTTTATGGTGGGCATGATGTGTTTTGTGATCTGGGAAGATTGAGCCATAAACCTGTGTGTTTACACTCTCTGAGAGTAAAGATCTCGGGCTGAAAGAGGCGCACATCTGGCTGCGTCTTACCCTGTGTTGAGACTGAGCGCGCTGTGGCTGGGAGTGGCAGGGCTGGCTGTGCTGCGGGGAGGAGGTGGAGGGGTCGCCGGGGAGGGTGTGGAGCTGAGAGACGGGTGGGTGGAGGTGAGGCTGGAGGTCAGGGGGCAGACGGAGGACATGGTGGTCACCGTTGTGCTAAGACTGGTCACGGCCTGCGACAGCTGGCTGGACATCTGTGAGAGAGAAAGCGGCATTAGTTTCTGAAACCACATCTGGAGCCAGGTTTCACTCATCGGTGAAGCGGATCCTCTGAGAAGTCCCGAAAATGAAACGTGAAGGGCCAACAGCTCCTCATAAGGAATCGTTTTCATCTGTGTGGTCTTCTTAAAACCTCAATCTTCTCTTAAAAATCAGGTCTGAAAACCAACTGAACACATTTTTTGACGTCTTTCCATTAATTCTGTGTTCAACCATCTTTTTTTTTGTCTTCATATTTTCTACAGGTCAAACAAGCCAGAGTTTGTAGTGACGTGTCTGTCGATCGTATCTCTGAAAAGACGTGATGCATTAGTCTTACCATGTGAGGGCTGTAGCAGGGCGGTTTGTGCGTTTGTGGGGCAGTGGGGGGCTGGCTGGGCAGAGGAGGGGTAGCACTAGTGGGATTGATGCGTTTTTCTTTCTGCCGGCGGTTGCAGAACCACACCCGGATCACCTCCTTCTCCATGTTGAGCTGCTCTGCGATCAGCAGGATCTCTTCTGAGGTAGGCTTCTGGTTCTGGGGGGGGAAAAAACACATAAATCCAGATGGTTACAGCTGATATTAAATTAGGTGATTACAAAATACCTTACAAGCATCAAGAATAAAGAGCCTGTCATGTATGAGAGTTTCAATTCAAGAAATGTCTCACCTTTAAAGTATAAGGCTTAGTATGCTTTATTTGGTACATAAAGACAACACATAAAAGAGAAACACAACACTTGTCCTGTCTTACCGTCATAAATGAGCGCTCCAGGGCCACGCGTACGTTTGTCTCAATGCTGGTTCTTTTCTTTCTGCGCCGGCCAGGAACCCCATCGAAGCCCATAGAGGGTGAGGACAGGGAGCTGGGGCTGGGGAGGGTGCTGTCTATGGACATGGTTTCTAAATAAAATTGAAACAAAGTGATCATAGACCAGCTGCTTTACACTCCTGCAGACTGAGATGTTGTTTGGTTGTCGGCTATTTCAAGTAAAAGTGTAATTATTTCAGTAAGGACTGACCTGCGTCGTTGAGCCACTTTTCCAGCAGGGGCTTCAGCTTGCACATGTTCTTGAAACTCAGGTTGAGCGCTTCGAAGCGGGAGATGGTTGTCTGACTGAAGTCGTTGCCATACAGCTTGCCCATGGCCAATCCTACATCTCCCTGGTGAAGGGGTGCACATAAGGGAAATGCATCTTGAAACAAGTCTTAACGTATCCAGAGGTTTGAAGCCGATGTAAAAGGTGTCTCCTCTTACTTGTGTGAAGCCCAGTTTGATGCGTCTCTGTTTGAAAGTGCGGGCAAACTGTTCCAGCTCCTCCAGGTCACTGGGCTCCTCGGGGTGAGCGGTCCCAGAGGGCACCGTGGTCACGCCTCCACCTCCACTCACATCCATGCTTTTGTCTCGCTGCATCCGATTCGCACGAGGCAAATGAAAGTGAAAGGAAGAGAAACGGAGGTGTTTGTTTGCGACCTGTGCAGGGACCGGGTTTTTCTTTTCCACTGACTAAAGCATCAAAGTTTCCTACCTGTGCCTGGAGTCCCATTCGAGCCGAAGCAGTAAGGAGGCTCCCTTGGTTTTGCTGAGGTAGCGGAATCAGATTTGGTGTCGTTAAAAGTCCTAAGAAAAAAATTAAAAAACACATTTTAAAATGTTTTCATACAGGAAAAAAAACAGGTCTCTTTACACGGCAAAAAAACCCCGAAAGAAAACGATGAGCCCACCTTGCTGGCCCTGCTGTGCCTGTGGGAGGAGGAACTGGGCTGTAGATTGGAGTGGGTGACCAGGCACCAGCACCAACTGCTGAAGCTGCAGCAACTGCTGAATGTCCTGTTTCATGGAGAGACAACAGCTTTTGTCAGAGAAAGCCATATATAAGCACCAAGAAGATATAAGGCTCTGCAAAAGCAAAACTGTGCGAGTACAGCATACATTTCCACCAGAGAAATTGAGATGAATTCGAATAACAGAACCCCGAGGAAGGAGGAAAACTCTCTTTTTTCACGGCTTCAGAGAAAATCATGCAACAGTGAAAGCATCGAAGCACCGCGGAAACTTTGAACTGTCCAATAAACGTGCAAAAAGAATGGCTCGGTGGACTGATAGCAGCTTCTCAATCAAGGCCCCTGCCAGAGGACGGCCTTGATTGGCAGTCAGTACCTGGGCGGTCAGCTGGATTGGCTGGGAGAGGGTGAGCTGGGGCGGAGGAGGTGGGACAGGGACACTTTGGGTGCTCTGATCCTGTGTGCTCTGTCCCTGTCCCTGGGACTGGGAGTGAGCCTGCTGCCCTGTTTGCCCCCCTTGCTGCTGTTGCTGTTGCTGCTGCTGTTGCTGCTGCTGGGCTTGCTGATTTGCCGCTGCAGCTGCCTGAGCTTGCTGATTGGCTTGGGCAGCTGCGTGCGCTGCGTGAGCTGCATGGGCCGCATTGGACTGCTGCACGGCTGCAGCCAGGAGCTGCGCCTGAGCCTGCTGCAGCAGCAGCTGCTGCTGCGCCGGCAGCAGGGCCGTCAGCTGGAAGGACGGGAGAGGACAGGAGAGAAGGAAACGCAGAGGAGGGGACAGAGAGGGCAAACAAAAGAGTTCAAAAAGCAGCACAGGAGAAGCAAGCAAGGTAAAAGCAGCAGCTGAGCCAGGAAAATCTCCACGGGCCCGCCACGCAGACGCTGTGGCTCACCGGAGTGGCAGAGAAGCTAATGTCTGCTCATTGTTTTAGTCATTCTGTCACACACAGCCTCAGGGATTGATGCTAACTTTGTGGTCACACCTATTTACATGCACTAACATGACTTCAATGAATCCAAAGTGAGAGCATTGTCATTCTAACAAAGACACCAGGAAATCCTGCAATTACATACAAAATTTGTTAGTTATTTGTAACTATTATCTCCTATGTTGTCTTAGTATACGTGATTTAGGAGACATCAATGTGAAATGTTTCCCTTGTTTTTAAGGCTTCTGGTGTTTAAGATTATTACGTTTTTTTAAAACTACACTCATGTCCATTTTGTCTGGATGTGGACATAGGACAGGGTTGGAATAAGTTGGGGTCAGTCTTAGATGCTCTTTTAATATCTCTATCTGTCATTTCCACTTCTGCTTACCTTTGTGAGTTAGCATATGCTAAATTCAGTCTGTATGCAAAATGCTGATCACATTAAGTCTGAATGATTTAAAATATTTCAGCATAGGTTTCTGAAACTGTCACCACACTTAGCTCTGTGGTCTTCAAGGCCCCCACTGTGCACCTCTGAGAAAAAAGGCAAAGAAAAAAGCACATTTGTATGTAATGGTTGCAAAAATCCCCCTCACCCCTGCAAGTTGGGAGCCGGTCAGCATAAGCTGTGTATGCTGCAGGGCTGTCTGTGAAGGAGTTGGGCCGTGAGAGGGTGGAAGGCCTGGAGACATGTCGGGACACTCATCCATCTTGTTCTGGTATGAAGAAAGAAAAAGAGAGAGAGAGCGAGACAGAGAGAGATGGGTAAAACAATGTTTTACAATGATCAGAGACACAGCTAATTAAGCTAGTTGTGGTTGGTGGCAACACAATAGCTGATTATAACAGAAAAAACGAGGACTACAAATTCAAACAAGTGTAGGATACAAAAACTGTGTAAGTCCTTCAACCTCTTTGACCTGCAGAATTGAAAAAAGAACAACATTGCTGCTTACCAGGTGCTGGGAGAAAAAGCTGGAGCTATCTCCATTAAGGCATCATAGGGGCTATTTAAGTATAGCTAAACTACCTGTGTAATCTCTGAAAATGATCCAAATTGATTCCAAGTGAAGCGCTTTCTCACAAAAGAGTGGGTTTTTTTCCCCCCAAGGATGACACAAGTTTGAGCTGGCAGATGGAGCCATTTCCAGGTTACTGATTTGCATATCTGATGTGTTATGAAAATAAGCAAGACATCTAGTCTGGGCCAAAGGAGTAATCTTTTAGAATAACTTAAGCTCTCAGTGGGCTTTGTAAGGTCAGAGTGCCACAATATCGTTTAAGTACTTGTTTACATTTGGGACTGGGTGGAGAGTCGACACATTATCAACCTCAATGCCGAATCCCACAAAAAGACAATTCAGTGAATAGAGGCTGAATACGAAGCTGAGGCAGCCCCACTGTCAATAAAGAGTAACGTTGAGACTCAATAGACACGCAAACACAGGCCCGGACTTGTGCACTCACCTTGTTGCTGCTCAAGTTTGGCGACAGGGGGAAGGGGCTGACTTTCATTGACTGAGCCTTAAAGAGGGGAAACAAATACAAAAATTAATATTTTATTCAATATACATTTTTAATAATGAAACCTAAACATACATGAGTTGGTTTTTGTTTAGCAAAGAATATAACTATACTTTTAAACTGACACTGTAATTTGATTTGATGATCGAGACAGCAGTTATTTGCTTGGCATTATTATTATCATTATTATGCAATTTGTTGTTGTTCTATCGACCGCGGGGGTAAAATTGGGGGAGAAAAATGTAAGTACCATAAGACTCACATATACCTGGTGATTTGATTCAGGTCCATTCCGCTCTGAGTCTGCGTAGGAGGAAGAGGAAAAAGTGATAAATGACATCTTGAATGTAATTCACACGCATGCCTATACTTTCCAATGTCAAGCATGTGCAGCTCTTTACATATTTTCGACAGATACACTGTATTTGTGGGAGTTCACTGGTTGGTCCTCGTGGAGATAAATCTTACCTGTGCCCTCCAATGGTGAGTCAGCCCCCACTTTCTCAACCTCTATTGGCTTTGACATCCTGATGTCTGCAACAGGAAGACACAAGACAAATAAGTCGAGCCGCCTGATTCTTCTGTGTGTGTCACACACAAAGTGCAAACGGTAGCAGAATAAACGGCATTGACGGAGATGGTGATCAGAATTTAGATGACAGAAGGAAAAAGAGAATGGCCAGGGCGTCGATCTTAGATAGGTGAGGGTTGAGTGTTTTCAGGTCATGGACCGGGCCCACACACTGTAACCTAAAGAGCGTGACTGAATCATTCACAAGCCGAATCCAGCCCACATTCATTCATTCTTTCCAAGTAGTGGTTAGCATACGAGTAGGTTGACCCAAGGTGTTTGCTTGTTCTAAATTTAACACAAAGTGTTTTCGTGGGAGCAGTGCCGCGCTAAAAATGTCTCATGTTGTGTGTCATTCTTTATAACACCACATTGTGTCCTATCTGATACTGTATTGGGACAGTCCCTATGGCAACAGCTTGCTTTGAAGGAGGCCAGAAAGTCAATCTTTAATTCTGTATATCACAAAAACATACAAAAAGAGTGTTGTTGAGGGGAAAAAAAAGCTGGAACTGAGAACAATCTGATGTAAGTTTAGAGTGAATACATAAGTGTGCGGTTATGTTGTGTGTGTGGTATTTTAATGTTTGGTTACCAAGCAATGGCAATATCTAATTACAAAAGCCTTTTTATTTGGCTGAAACCACAAACTGCAAAACAACTTTTGTTGTGACCACCTGAAACCTTTCCCCCCCTCCCTTGCTCTGTCTCCCCTTAACACGCAAACACACACGCACACACAGTGTTACTTCCCTTTTGTGAGCACATGCAAATCTGCCCAACGACTAACTAATTATATCTGCCACCTGCATAATAAACTCTCAGTCTCCCTCCTTCTCTGCCTCTCCTTCTCTCGCTCTCCTTCTCTTCCTTTCCTGTTATTTCTCATGAGCAGCTCTGACATTATAGCATGCAGGACATTTACTTTTAGCTTTTTTATTAATACACAGTCAAGTAAATGGTCAAGTGTGGTTTATACCATTGGGGGGCAGTAGCAACACACAGATCCATTTTGACCACCACTGACCTGTGGCCAATTGGAAATAAAAACAAGCCAACAGTTAAGTGATTTTATCAAACAGATGAGAATCCAGAGAATCATAGGCTTCTGTGAACCAGATGTGAGATCAGTGAACTTTGCTGTCTTTAGGGGAAAAGACAATAAACTTAAGAAGCTCCACTCTTGCTAGGGTACACATACATGCACCAACACCCTGGTGGCTCAGACTAATTTGGTAACAATCTGCTTAATTGTGGTCAGTTCGTGGTTATTCCAGCATTGCACGTGCCTCTTTCATTTGTGGATTATACCAGTGAAACTAACAAACTGTCCATCATTGCTCAACTTTGTCTGAAAAGTACTGAGTATGCCCTCCAGAATAGCACCTTCCGCTTCTATATAAAAAAAACTCTTGACATATTCAGTAAGTACAGTAAATATCTCTTCTGTGACATCAGACCATCCGGATCCTCAGTATGGGGAGTGTACGGCACTGAAGCCAAATCCAGCATGTAAAATGATCTCCATGTGTCCTGCCACCACGCATCTTGATTCATGGTGTAAAATGGCCATCAGGCCGGGGTATGGTGGATAATGTGGTCAGTAATACAGTGGCGGGACAGTATATCAAGATGCTGTGTCTTTTCTCACTTCCCCTCCTGACTTCCCCTTGTGCTGGGTTGAACGCAGAGTGCTAAACCCAACACTTACTGTCAACGCGGCTATTAATATTAACCAGTTCTCCCTAACTCTCTCTTTCACTGCATCTTTTAAAATATGCCTCTCCTTTACCTCACACTGCTGCACACACACACACATGAACTCACATTACACTTTAGTTAGTTTTAGAAACTGTTTTAAACAAGAAGATGCCCCTTTCAGCAGTGGCTCACTCTCCTTCTGTTGCGGTCATGAGCATTTTGGTATTCTTACGTGTACAAAATTCAATTAGTTGACTTAAGCTGAGGCCACAGCAGAGTTCAGGGTCTATCTGTGACCCTATGAGAGCAGTGCGCAACACCAAGCTCATTGTATCTAAAACAGATCAAGTTAATTGCTGCATAATCCTGTGTCATGAGAAGATGATGCAACCTAAAGGAACGAGGAACAAAAGTGTCTGTTCTCAGTCTGGGCTGTTTCTGTTATTCTCCTCTGGGTATTTTGGCTGAGATGAAACTTCACTGCAACCATGCTGATCCTGAACACCCAACACCCCACTTCCTGAGCCAGGACATCTTAGTGCCACTGGCGGGTGATTAAGATCAGAAATTAAAATGAAAAACTCAATTTTTGAAAGACTAAATACTGGTGAGAAGAGCTGATTTTCAAACGTGATTAAATTAAAAGCTTTTTTTAATTCTTAAACTAAAATGTTGAAGTTAATTAAAACTGAATGTTCTATCATATATAATGAAAAAAATAAATTAATTAACACAAGAAATGAAATAACAAAGGTAGAGGTGAACGGGAAATCCTGGATGTTGGATCCTAGAACACCGACCATCAAAGCTGACATTTAATTCATATCCAAATTTTTACCAGATGTAAATTGAAATAATCTGGTTTAGTTTACAATAATAAAAACAACAAAATAATCTAAATGTAAAAAACAGCAAATTACGAATCACAAGGCAGATGGACGCATGTTGAATAAAAACATGTCAATTATTTCTCTGTCGCGTAAATCTGACGACAGTACAGACTCTATTCAAATTTACCTGGAAATGTAAATGAATATTTACGCTACTTATTTCAGATGTAGCTTGGTCCCATCTATAAAGTCGTACGACAAGACAAGCACTACTCTTTTTAATGAGAAATCCACAGCTATACATCTACACAAAATGTTCCCTCCAACTGGGAGCTTTCAAAAACAAAAATGCTGCTAAATGTTTTTTTTAAAGTTGCACTTCAAAGCTTTTGCATGAACGTTTCCATCGCTGCAGAAAGCGGCTTTATTTACGTTGATCTGGTGTGTTGGTCTGTTTGCTTCACAGGATGTGTCATTCCCGTAAGAGTAACTTTGTGGAGGTCATGGCATTGACCACATCGGTTTAAGAAGTGACTTGGTCATTTTCAAAATGAAGAATCATTAGATAACAACCAATGCACAGCAATACAGACGTTCAATAATTGTGTCATGACACCACAAACTGAGCTAATTGATATTTAAAAGATGATTTCTGGTAATTTGTGAGTCAGCTTACAGGCTCTTGTGTGTTTTTTTTTGTTGTTTTTTTTACAGACGCCGGTCAACTGAGACTGTGACCGTCTCTTCTGGGGTTATGAGCTGACCACCAGATTGGGGGCCGGGGTACGAGTGCAGTCACGCTTTGTTTGCTTTCTTTCCAAACTCTTCCAAGTAATGACAATACTGATTATTTTACTGCATTTCCCATCAAGAAACTCTGTCATGAGTGTAGTTCAAAATGAGTTTCAAATTCACTTGCGTAAATTAGAATTTGAAAGGTTGTATGACACGCTCTAGGTCAAGCATTTGTAAGGTAAACCCAAGTCGAACTGCAGCAGAGTGCTTACAAAGACCGGCAATTGTAAAAGAGCCACCTTATCAAAAAACTCACAGGCTGCTGCACAAATTTTAGATTAGAAGCAGGTTAGATTAGATTAAAACAGATGATTTTCTTTATGTTCATTCACTGTATCATTCAATATTCATTTGAAACACTCTCTCTCACACACACACACACACACACAGAAAAAAAAGCACAAGTCACAGGCTAGTGAGGTGTCTGACCTTTCCCTCTGCCTGCGACAGGCGTCCACTTATCCATCCTTCCATCCATCATCTCTCCATCCTTCCACTTCTCTCGCCTCGTACCACCCCTCACCCCTTTGATGCTCTCTAATTAGCTGAGCTTGTTAGACCCAGTGGCATTAATCAACAGCGTAGACACGGCTCTTTCTCCAGCACAAACACACACAGAGGCACGCAGAGCTTAATTGGTCTTGGCAAATGAAGGCCAGCAAAGGGAGAAGGCTGCACAGACAGTCACTCACCTGGCAACCACATACTGGAGAAGTCCTTTGCCGCTATTGCTGCTGTCTTGGTCATATCTGTGTGAGAGTGTGTGCGCCAAGAAAAACTCTCACTCTCCCTCCCTGCTTCGTTCTCTAACACTAAAGGAGGAGTGTATTAAATCATATGGTTGAGAGTTATCCTCCCTCTCTTTCTCTATCACACACGCATGACAGTCCACACCCCCAAGGCACCACCTCCTCCCCACATCCTGCAGCAGGAAGTATCTAAAAAGAATAGGAACTCAGTCAGAAGAGAGAAAATACAAGACCAAAAAAAACAACAAAAAAAACGGGGGGGACACGCTAAAGGTAAGTCGAGTGGGAAAGAGAGTGAGTGAGCGAAGAGATCAACAGATAGATGAGGTGAAAAAGAGGGGGATGACTGGTGCCGTCGGAAAGTGATGGCGCGGCTGGAAACAGCCACTCACAAGCACACACGCACACACACACACACACACACGTGTTCATTCTCACACAAACTAAAGGCCAAAACTGCAAGAGTGAGATTGTGACCAAAGAGGGTATGGCGACATGTTTTAAGCACGACATGAAAAAAAAAAGAAGTTTTTTTTTTTTTTAGATATAGTACTGAGAAATGAGCACCTCCTCGCGGACCCGTCTTTCACTTTTCTGTCAGACTGAGGGGGTATGAGCGCGTCAGTGGGTGTAGGTGGTCTGTCAGGGGAGGCCGGAACCGGCAGCAGAAGATGTGAGACATCTTCGGCTAAGTGTAACACTCTCACCCGAATGGAAGGAAAAACTCAGTCACGGCACTCGCTGTGCCACTGACCACGCCACACTGTGGGACGCACTGAGTGACAAACCACCGAAACCCCAGGCATCAATCTGATCTGTACACATGATGAGTAGATTGGGCATGGCAGTGGAACGTTGACGATCAGCTAAATATGAGGCCTCATCAGA